GGGGGTCCTAGCCAGGGCACAGAAGCATTTTCCAGAAAGCTGCAGGCTTGAGTTTTTTTCCACAGCAAGTGGGTCTTGATAAGAAAAATTCCCCTCTTATCTGACTCTCTTGGCCGTGATATTGGAATAGCAGTAGCAAGAGCTGTTAGAGTGTGTAGGCATGTGCCACTCAATGTCCCCAAACCCCGTGCCTAGACGATGGCGCATAGTAATAGAACACCCTGAGGAGCTTGGCGACATTTTCTGCCCTTTTTACAGGATGGGAAACTGAGTTCTAGGAACTTGTGACTTGCCCTCAGTGGTCCAGCCTTGAGCGGGCAGTGGGAGGGAGTTAGGGCTTTATGGTTGAACAGTCCCATACTGCCAAAACCCATTGTTTTCCCATCAGGATGCCCGCCAAGAACTGTTTGGCCGTTTCACTGGTGATGTGACTCTTAGGACTATTAGATAGCACTTTAGAGAACATTGTCTAGGAGACCCAGTAAAATTATTTCTGATCTGCCCTAAATCTGGCGCTCAGTCCAGTATTTGGAGGGAGTCTGATTCTCTAAACAGACTGATTCTTCAAAAGAGCGTATGGTCATAGCACCATAGTTTCACCAGTTTCTCTCAACCAAGGGCTATTCGGCACAAGTTTGTTTTGTTTTTTCAGCCAAAGCTCAAGGTTTAAAAGGACATAGTCACTATGAGTCAGAACTGACGTGATGACAGTGGGTGGTTTTTAGGGACAATGGTCTGTGTGGTTTACCCCAAATTCCATGAGAACTAGAGGTAGAAAAAATATATCTCAACAACAATATTAAGCCAGCTGTCTGAAATAACTCAGAAAGCCAAGACCCAAAGATCTCCATACCCATGACAACAAGCACCACGTTTGTTCGTGTATTTACAGCATCAGCCATAGTTATATTCTACTTTCTTTAAAAAGTAATTGTTACCTTCTGTAAAGCCTCAGGTTGTAGATGAATACAGAAACGCTCACGTATTAACATAGACTGTTCCTTTGGAGACTGAGCAGGAAATCTTATCTCAAGTCTACTTGGTAAAATCATGGCTTGACTTAATCTTGCTAAATTTACCAACAACAAACTTTAAAATTTGAGAGTCATACTATCCAAACCTATGTTCTAGGGGAGAAAAGAGACTCTACGTTCAGATATAAATTATAGAAGCATACTTACTATGTTTGAAAGAGAATAAAGCCAGACCCTTTGTTGAAGGAGACTGCCAGCAGGAGGCTGTAATGGTGTCCAAGGATTCACAGAGAGTTGGTCCCACAAAAGAAACTGTCACCAAGTCTTGGATGGCAGCAGATCAATTCATCACAGTGGAAGGAAGGACTGCAGAAGCAGGAAAGAGCCTGTGATTGGGATGCAGATCCTGTTGCAGAGCTAGACAAGTTGACAAGAGCACTCTCTGAACAGGGTGGTCAGAGTATGAGTAATGATTGTGCTACTGGTACCCCAATTTCCATCAAAGACATCCCTAGGGAAGCCCCCTCCTTAAATGACTAGGGGAGTAGTAGTGATTCATTTTCAAATTGCACATTGCTCATCAGTGGTCAGAAGGAACTCACTGGAGGCTGAGTCTAGGCGGAGACTCTAGAAATGGATTTAGGGCTCCCACTGTAAACTGTAAAGGATCCTGGCATTGCTGCTGGTTAAGTGTTGGCTGCTAACCAGGGGATTCAAACCCTTGGGAGAAAGATTTACAGCCCAGGAAACCCTGTAGGGTCGCTATGAGTTAGAAGCTACTTGACAGCAGAGAATGCTGTAAACTAGCCTTCTGCAAACCCAGAGTTCAGAATTTAACTTCTAAGACGATTTAGGTGAAAAGGGAAAAATGATGTTTTATAACCAGAGTTTCCAACCTTAAGATACCCACAATATTCCCGCCTAACTACCCATACTAACATTTTAGTTTATTCAGTGGCTAATTTCTGTTTCCTCATGGTTTTGGATCAGTTGTAATTTGTCAGCCTGGTCGCCTTCTAAACCAAAATTCTGGAAGTCTTGATTCAGTCTCGTAGACTCCAAGGTCAAAGTACCAGTTCTTTTTCCTAAATCCAAGATAGTCCTTTCTTTTGGTAGGAATATCGGGATCAAGCATTTTAGCAAGTCATGAAAGCAAAAGCTTATCTCTAGATGATTAATACAACCATAATTCGTTTGGGCATATGAATATACCAAGAATATGGATATGAATTCTTTAGTTAAACCATCGACCTCAATAATGTTAGATTTAAAAGAAAAAGTGTGCCGATTGAAAATTAAACTTAATAAATTTATGCAATAATATTCCCTGGTTCCCTAATAGTAGGCAAAAACCTAAGAGGTAAATGGTATCACTAACTAACACTTTTAATCCAAAATAAAATCAGACATTGCTATTATGTAAAACCTTATAGAACTTGCTTTTTATAAAATGGAAAAATATTTTAAAACTTTCCATGAAGTTTCAAATTGTCAAGAGTTTGTAATAATTCATTAAGAAACAATACCTAGATTATTTACCTAACATCTTTTTAGATTAACTTTTTATTGTGAATAAGGTGGGTTAACTAAAATCTGAAGGGTAAGAATTAGCTTCTCAAGATAATGTGAACCCAAATTATCTTAGTCCTAGAAGCAGATTACTCAGAGAATGAATTAACACTTTAAACCAGTAATCAGAGAAAATCTTGCTACTTTAACCAGCGAGAAAACCAATTCCTTGTTTTATGCTATTTAACATTAAAATCCCACCCAAGTCTTAAACTATTTAACTTTAGCCAGACGGGTAAAACTTTGACCATATCAAATACATTTCTTTTTAATAAATCCTTTAAAAAATTTACCTTTTGCAAATCTCTTATAACAATAAAATATCAAAGAGGGATAGACTTAAAAAAATAAATCATTTTATTGGGGGCTTTTACAGTTCTTAGAACAATCCATATATCAATTGTATCAAGCACATTTGTACATATGTTGCCATCATTTCTCCTTGAGTCCTTGGTATCAGCTCCTCAAAGATGGATTCACTCATTAGCAGTCTGGAATATGTACATCCTTTCTCTAAAAAGCAAAAGATCTTCAAACTCTAATGAATATTCATTAATGTTGCCCTGACAGCACCCCAGGGCTCCTTATTCAAAACCCAAACAAACTGACTGTCATGGCATCCACCTCATAGACCAAGAATAGAACTGCCCCTTTGGGTTTTTAAGACTATAAATCTTTACCGGAGTGGAAAACCACTTCTTTCTCCCATTAAGCAGAAGGCAGATTTGAACTGCTGACCTTGTGGTTAGCAGCCCAGCATGTAACCCACCCTTCATGCTACTAGGGTTCTGGTGGACTTCTTTTTTTTTTCCTAGTGGACTTCTTATTAACTCAATTATAAAGCTCTTGAAAATATCTGTATACTGCAAAACATAATTGTTGCTGCAATAAAGTTTGTTAAAATGTTCTAAGTTAAAATGTAGGTCTCTTTTCAAATTTTTCCCAAGTCTAAATTTGGCTTTTCAAGATATCTTAAAATACCTGCACCTTGTTGGAGTTCTTCAAAAATTTCAGAGGCCACCCAAAGACTGGGAACTTGATTTCAGCCTCACCCTCCCTGCCTTAGGCTCACAGTCAAAGACAAAAAACTAGTCATCCCAATTCATTTGTATGCTTAAATTGGCCCAACTGTTTTGAAAGACAATACACAGAACAAAACACAACATAAACACCCAAACTCACTGCCGTGGAGTTGATCCAGACTCCTGTGACTCTGGGGACAGAGTTCCACAGCCTTGGGGGCTTAGGAGGCTAAATCTTCACAAGCCTCTTCTTTCTCCCTTAGAGAGAGAGAGGCTGGTGGTCTCAACCAACTTTGTGGTCAACAGCGTAACTGAGAACCTACTACACCTTGAAAGACAATAGACAACTAATTTTTGTTAAATTAAATACATTCTGTAATATTTAAGTTACTTAGAAAAAAATTTAAATTAGTTGGAT